CATATTTGTGATTTATGTGCCATGTCAAACAGTTCATCACAATGTATAATAGTTGATGAAGTAAATGTGGAGATAACAGATCATAGGGGAAAACAAGTTTATCATACCAGATTGTGATTTGCTTACTCCCTATTCTTTTGGATATATGAAAGTATTTTCTTAGTATGTTTTGTCATAGTTTTACTGTAATTTGCACAGATATTCCTATTTCTCCTTCATTTATGTATTCCCTCATTCAAAAAATACTTGTGGGCCTTCTCTGTGCTAGATTTGGTTCTCCCGGTCAGCACTCCTTGAATGGAAAAGAACCTGATCAAAAAAGGAAGGATATTTTTCTTTTCTGTAAAAATTTTGGAAAATTCAGTATGAGTAACTGTGCATTACTTGTACCTCATTTTGATTAGAGTGATTATATCAAGATAGCTGCTTAATGTGTAGACGTATTTAGGAGGGAAACCTAAGTTCTTTTCCTACCTTTAGATTTACTACTAATAGTAATAGCTTGCCTGATTGTTTTGGAAAAGCATAAAAATGAAAAAGATTAGTTTCCATAATCCTACATTTTAGATATGTCTATCTAGACTTAGATACCTGATGTTATTACAAGTAATTCACATCATACTGTGTATGTTGTGTACTATCTCTTCTGCAGATAATTTTCATGATTGCATAACATTTTAAGGATATACCATAAATTATCTAAATAGTTTTCTTATGGGACATGTAGCTCATTTAAATTTTTGTTGTTATAATCACTGCAGATTTTTGTATACATCCATGATTCTGTTCTTAAAATAAAGTTTCTATAAATTAAATTGCTGCAATGGGTTTTTCACATTTTTTAACACCTGCCAAATTGCCTTTCAGAAAGATAATGCCAATTGCAGGTCCTACTAGCAGTGTATGAGAGTGATCAGTTTCCTGCACTTACACCAAGACTGAATTATCATCTTTTAATTTGAACTTTGCATCACTGTTTATGAAATATTTCAATAACAGGATTATTTTTAAAAATAGTGTGATATGTTGTAAAATGTAATATGGAGTTATGCTCAGCCACGCTTCATATCTTCTGCCACTCTTAACATTTTACTATAGAATTTAATAATTTATAATCACAGGGAATAAGTTATCACTGACCTTCATTTTACATTTGCCAATATTTAGAGACTGACACATTATTCATTTTTGGGGGCAAAAATAAAAAATCTATGATTTATGAAAGTTTAATTACATCAGTACAAATAGGATTGTTTGAAACATAATTTAACTCCAACTCCTCAAGTAATGTCCATACTTAACTATTTTTGGCAAAAGAAAAATTACCATGGCTTTTGAGGACAGTCCAGTCATATTTTTAGACAAACTATATCTCAAGTGTATTGTTTGCAATTGCATCATCACCAAATATGGTAACTATTGATGAAAATAAAGAATTCTTTCTTGTATTTCCATGGGTAACAAATTAAATTACCCCAAATCAGAAAAGACTTCCTCTCAGGTACTTACACTCTAGCCACAGTGGATTATTTCCCCTTTTCTTAACACAGTGTGACTTTTAATTTTCATAGCTTCATAATTTGGCTCACATTGCTTCCTCTGCCTCCAATATCCTTTCTTTTCTTTCCTACCTTATGAACTCATCCTTCAGAATATGTGATACACATGATATGTGGTGCCTTTTCCTACACACTCCTTCCCATAGAACTACCAGTTTCTACTAAAGGTAGACTGGCTGTATTCAGTCAGGTTTGTAGTTAGGATCCTGGTAGCCAAACTAGCCACTTGACCCGAGGTGAACCCCAACCCTGATCAAAGCTGAGTCATCAAAACCCTCATCCAGGAATTTGTCTCAGAGTCTCTGAGAGGCTAAGCAGTTTGCTGAGCAGACTTGAACCAGGTCATTTATAATAGGGTCAGAATTTATGCCATCATGATAAACCACTGACATGTGCAAATTATTGTAGAGCAGAAATCATTAGCAAATGAATGATAAGTCCGCAGAATGGTTTCCATACTGATTTTCATGAGAGGTATCATTCCCACCCATATCTCCTTTTCACTTTCCTTAGTCTAAATGGTTTTCCTTAAAATAAAAGGTTCTTGAGAAGAAGAGGGTTCAAATATCACTGCTTCCCAAAAGCTTTTTCTGATAACCTACTTATTTACCTTTAAAGCTGTTTGAGGTATTCATATAAAACTATCTTATTGCTTTATATAATATTATGTAAGTTATATAAAAATTACATATATATAAAAATAAAAAATAAGTATATCAATTATATAATATTCATATAAAACAAAATGTTTTATAGTCCAATAGTAAAGACCTAAAACTGAGTGCTTACTATTAGCTAGACATAATGCTAAATATTATCTAATATATGCATTATTCTCACTCCTACACTGCAAAGTTGGTATTCTCTCCATATCATCATTGGGGTTATATCCTTTGTCCAATATTATGCAGTTAGAAACTGAGGAAGCTAGAATTATAGCCCAAGTCTGTATGATTCCAGAGACTGCTTCTAGCCACTTGTTAAACCAATCCCCAGCATTAATAGTTGCTTATTGTCCCTCTTGCTTAAAAGTGAGCTCCTTTAAGTTAGCATATTGTGTGCATTTTTTAAAGTGTCAACATAGTACCTACCAAGCACAGCAGGCTCAATAAATGTTTACTGAGTTAAAATTATCTAGCATTTTATCCATATTCTAATCTTAGATTGTATGATTGACTATTTTTAAGCCATTGCCATTAGGATAAACATAAAGGCCCACATGTATGCACATATTTGTACAAACATCAGATGCCTCAATTATGTAGATTATCTTTTGTTTTTCCAGGGTGGAATTAAATAATGTATTTGTTTTATATTTTAATACTGTACTGAGAGTAGTATTTTAGGAAGTATGAGAATTGTAATCCAGAATTCAATGGAACACATTTTATAAACCTCAGGATAGCATTGACCATTTATTTCTCCTTAAGAGTTTTTTCTCTATAATATAAAGTTTGGTAGCATGGTAACATCAGATAATAAAAATAGTTTAAAAATTATGGAAAACTTAGTGATTTCACCTGAAATTTCCAAAAGGGAAAATGAGTGCTAATTTGACTATGCAATAAGAATACTGAAACTCCTAAAATTTATAACTGCACAATTATGTTACTAATAGCATGATTTAATTAGTACAATTTGATTTATCACAGGAAAAATCCATAAAGTGAGCTGTTGAAATATGAATATTCATTTAGACTAAATATCTATGGTTTGTCTTAAAATATATTTCATTTTGTCAATAGATTTTAGATTAAACAATCTATGAGGTATTTAACTTTTCTAGAAAAACAAGAAAAAAGGCTGAGGAAAGACTTGCTTGTAATTTTATTTAATAATTATTTTTAAATCAAAAGAAATAGAGCAAGTCTACCTTTAGCTGAGTGCCAGAGATTACTGTGTACTGTGAAATTGTTAGGATAAGCCTGTATTTCCCTCTTCCTTTGATGCAATTTAGCAAGAGTTTAACCATCACTAGATCAGTGATAAATAGGCAGCTTGACATTTCGCCCAGGCCACCCCTTTTGAGTAGCTACAAAAACTGTTCTTAGATTTTTGAATTTTGCTTCCAAGATCAGTCATTATTTTATTATCAGAAAATAACACAAAAAATCATATTCTCATGGCATAACGTTTGTTATAGCAAAAACAGTGGAAAACATTTAAATGTCTCTCAAAAATGGCTCTTTAAATACATGATGTTATAGTCATTCCAACATACTACACACTTAAATGAACCATTGAAAGGGATGAAACACCTTTTTGTGTATTAAGCAGAATGATCTGCTAGATACATGAAGTAAAAAGAGCAAGGTATAGGGCCACATGCAGAGTATGCTACCATTTGATCAAACATCTTGTCAATGCATGCCCAAGTTCATGATTTTTTGCATTCAAATAAATTGTTTAGAAGTAAAATATATACATTTAAGCAGCTACTACCTAAAAATGTTTGAGATTCCTTAAATGGTCCTCTTTTGAATTTGTCTTGTATCTGATTTCTATCTTCCAGCCTCCAATACTAGCAAATGAATGAAGTATCACAGTTTTCTGGATGTTCTTTTGTCACCTTTATATATGTACAGAATGTCTTTTGTAAATGTATGTAATGATGGAAATCCCTTCCATTGGATAGAAAGAAGAGGCCCCCACCCTTGGTTGGCTGCTCACTCTCCCACCCCCACCATGAGATGGGAAGCAAGGAGGGCTGAAACTAGAATTGAGGTGCTAAGGTGTGCAGTCTCTGGCCACATTAGGTTCCTGTAGAAAGGAAGCGATCCCATAACCCAAGGCCCTGTAAGGTTGCTCCTTTTCCCTCTTAAAACAGAGGCCCTACTTCTTTTGGAAGAAAGGGTTTTCTGTTTCCTCTCCTTTATGGGGCTTTATTGGAGATGGCAGGCCTGAGAATTAGCCTTCCTGGCACTTCAGCAAGCAAGCACATGTAGAGAAAGAAAGTTTCTCCAGGGTGAGGAAGCTGAAACTTCCAGACAAAAGGAATGTAACAGCAGACATCCTGCCGATTCCCTTCTCAGTGAAGAACCACCCAGCCTTTGTTGGCCCATTGGCTGAGCCTCTTGAAATTGAACCACTTTCAAGAATACAGAAACAAACATTCTAGTACATTTGTGTTATTTAAGGAAAACATTGGACAATTGATAAGTCACTGTCCTTTGGAGTGCCTTAAATCTTGCATTCTGTGGATGTAGACTTTTAGCATATTACAGAATAAGCATAAATTGGGACAGTAGCTTTCCACTTCCACAGTATCAAATTTCCTAGCATCAAAGTTGGCAAGTGAAAATGCAAAGCTAGTTTAGATTTATGTGGGTTTCATTTTAAACACTATACCCCTATCTTCATTCCAATTAACATATTTCAGGTTAAGAAAAAATTAGCAAGTGAATAAATGAATGGCATGAAGGAGGATTTATGATTTTTTTAATTTAATAATTATTTTAAAATCAAAGTAATGAGAACAAGTCGTCCTGGCATGAAGTAGTATTTAAGATATTTCAAATTAACTAACTTAGGACAAAGTCTGCATTTTTGTCAACTGCATTTACACATGTGCACACCCGCTTCCTGCGAACCACCAAATACTTGCTCTGGTATTACTTATGTGGAAATTTCCTTTGTTGCCCAAGAGTTATTAACCATGTGGGTAGATTTTATTTGTTGGAAACTATTTTGAAAGTAGTAATGTAAGAGTCAGTCTCCTACACTGTGATCGTTTACGTTTGTCAATGGTGAACATGTTTTTCTTTAATATTACTCTTGAATTGATCAATTCTTACATTGAAATATCTTTCTCTGATCTTCTTTAAACATGTCACATTTCTGTCCTAAAGAACACATACAGACACAGGCCCTCCTAAAGATCACAATGCCAAAATTTACCTATAACATTTCACGGTATTAAATTTTAAATTTTATTTAAAAGACTATCACAGGCTAGGGATAAATATAAGCACTGAGATAGTATAGTTCAGAAAATAAGCTAGAATTTTCTTGATCAACTTTAGATACCTTATCATTTGTCATTCAGCAAGCTCCGTGCATTCTAGATTCTAGAATTAAAAGGGGACAGGATTATGCATTTAGGAAGTATAAACAAGTTATTTCCATTCAACAGAGAAAATTTAGCAGTCAAGATAACAATGTGTACAAAAATTTACATAACAAAAGGAACAATAGACAATGCAGCACCTTTAGAAAAATAATTAAAAAGTTTTTTTGCATTTACAACTAAGTGCCACACTGAGAATTTACAACACAGTAATTTACTGCAATCAATGACAGTGGAGTTCCATAATGAAACAAAAAGCTCTTACACTCCAGATTTTCAGAAGGTATTATTGGAATGCTTAACTGTAACCACAGAATTTGCACATCCTTTAGGATGGAGCTGACAAAAGTCACACAAGGTTTTCATAGCATATATTGTATAAAAGGAGTCCACTGTGTTCAGACAGCTGGCTTAGTGTCTCTGACAAGTGTGAAGCCTGGAAGAGTTACTGGCTTGATGGTGATCTTTCTGTATCCGGCAAGATAGATCTTCTCCGCAGTAACAACGCTGGAATAGCTCCAGCCCATGGGAGCCTTTTCTCCTGTGCTTGGTGCACACTTGACCCTCTTTGAGGACAGGCTTACAGATCTTGGACCAGAAATGTCTAGCACAACACAACCCTGTGGCACAGTCTGATGATCGGAGACAGACAGAACCTTCTTGTCCTAGAAAGGAAACAATAAGAGAAGCATGTGGTCAGTGCTAAACTGTTATTTCATTAAGATAATCCAAAAGACACTTTTGATGTGCTAATAAAAGAGAACTTGTATTATTAGGTCCTTTAACCTACCTTTGGTATGATACATTTTTGAAGACAGTGTAGTTCTTCTGGAGTACCCATCCAGGATGCTGTGATCATTACCAAAGCTTTCAATAATGGTTTCCTCTATTTCCCCTCGATGGAAATGACTGTGATCAGAGGGCATACATATTCCTAAGGAAACAGGAGATAGCTTTTAACTCCTAGGCTGGCATGTGTGATTGCTAACGGCTGTGACAGTGGCATTCTGTCATGCCTGCACCAACCTGAGATATCTCATTGCACTGACATTATTTTAAATACAAACCAAACTTTCTCCTTAGTTTTAATGCAAAACTCCCCAACTGGACATAAGCATCAACATGTATACTGTGCAGTCATACACAACATTCCCCCCTATAACTATTTAAAATACTTTCTTACCAACTGTGGTAGTAGCAGTGAGATTTCTACCCACTTTAATATCACCCTTGGGGTAAAAAAAAGAAAATCAGTTACTTAAAAAACTTTTTAAAAATAACTTCTCTGCCCTTGTTGCTATATAGGTACTGCCAGACTAAGTTAAGCAAATGCAATCCCAGCTGCCTGGAAGGTTACAATCTCACCGACCAGTTACTTTACTGTATAATTTCTATATTATAGAGATTTAGTCAGTTCATCCCAAAGTATTACTGGGTCCTAAGGAGGGTCGCCACCCTTAAGTTTATTTCTGGAGACTTCTTTGGCTGTCTGAATTTGACTCTTTGAGACATTAAATTTTAGGGGATCTGTAGTTGGGGGAGGAGTACTTATTTTAAGTAGCAGGAGGTGGAGGCAGGGAGAAGGATGGAGAGACCAGGATGTCAGGGTATCAAGATATCTCTTAAGAATAGTCAGTAGAGACAAACCACTGTCTCTGGCAGACACCAGTTTAATCAGGGAGGATGAAGGGGAGGCCAGTCTGACAGAACTGTGAGAGGCACCATTCCCTAAACAAAATTTTATGGAAGGGTCCACTATGAGTTAAGCCATTAAATAATCAAGAGGCAAGTATTTAAGATATTTCAAATTAACTAACTTAGGACAAAGTCTGCATTTTTGTCAACTGCATTTACACATGTGCACACCCGCTTCCTGCGAACCACCAAATACTTGCTCTGGTATTACTTATGTGGAAATTTCCTTTGTTGCCCAAGAGTTATTAACCACGTGGGTAGATTTTATTTGTTGGAAACTATTTTGAAAGTAGTAATGTAAGAGTCAGTCTCCTACACTGTGATCGTTTACGTTTGTCAATGGTGAACATGTTTTTCTTTAATATTACTCTTGAATTGATCAATTCTTACATTGAAATATCTTTCTCTGATCTTCTTTAAACATGTCACATTTCTGTCCTAAAGAACACATACAGACACAGGCCCTCCTAAAGATCACAATGCCAAAATTTACCTATAACATTTCAGGGTATTAAATTTTAAATTTTATTTAAAAGACTATCACAGGCTAGGGATAAATATAAGCACTGAGATAGTATAGTTCAGAAAATAAGCTAGAATTTTCTTGATCAACTTTAGATACCTTATCATTTGTCATTCAGCAAGCTCCGTGCATTCTAGATTCTAGAATTAAAAGGGGACAGGATTATGCATTTAGGAAGTATAAACAAGTTATTTCCATTCAACAGAGAAAATTTAGCAGTCAAGATAACAATGTGTACAAAAATTTACATAACAAAAGGAACAATAGACAATGCAGCACCTTTAGAAAAATAATTAAAAAGTTTTTTTGCATTTACAACTAAGTGCCACACTGAGAATTTACAACACAGTAATTTACTGCAATCAATGACAGTGGAGTTCCATAATGAAACAAAAAGCTCTTACACTCCAGATTTTCAGAAGGTATTATTGGAATGCTTAACTGTAACCACAGAATTTGCACATCCTTTAGGATGGAGCTGACAAAAGTCACACAAGGTTTTCATAGCATATATTGTATAAAAGGAGTCCACTGTGTTCAGACAGCTGGCTTAGTGTCTCTGACAAGTGTGAAGCCTGGAAGAGTTACTGGCTTGATGGTGATCTTTCTGTATCCGGCAAGATAGATCTTCTCCGCAGTAACAACGCTGGAATAGCTCCAGCCCATGGGAGCCTTTTCTCCTGTGCTTGGTGCACACTTGACCCTCTTTGAGGACAGGCTTACAGATCTTGGACCAGAAATGTCTAGCACAACACAACCCTGTGGCACAGTCTGATGATCGGAGACAGACAGAACCTTCTTGTCCTAGAAAGGAAACAATAAGAGAAGCATGTGGTCAGTGCTAAACTGTTATTTCATTAAGATAATCCAAAAGACACTTTTGATGTGCTAATAAAAGAGAACTTGTATTATTAGGTCCTTTAACCTACCTTTGGTATGATACATTTTTGAAGACAGTGTAGTTCTTCTGGAGTACCCATCCAGGATGCTGTGATCATTACCAAAGCTTTCAATAATGGTTTCCTCTATTTCCCCTCGATGGAAATGACTGTGATCAGAGGGCATACATATTCCTAAGGAAACAGGAGATAGCTTTTAACTCCTAGGCTGGCATGTGTGATTGCTAACGGCTGTGACAGTGGCATTCTGTCATGCCTGCACCAACCTGAGATATCTCATTGCACTGACATTATTTTAAATACAAACCAAACTTTCTCCTTAGTTTTAATGCAAAACTCCCCAACTGGACATAAGCATCAACATGTATACTGTGCAGTCATACACAACATTCCCCCCTATAACTATTTAAAATACTTTCTTACCAACTGTGGTAGTAGCAGTGAGATTTCTACCCACTTTAATATCACCCTTGGGGTAAAAAAAAGAAAATCAGTTACTTAAAAAACTTTTTAAAAATAACTTCTCTGCCCTTGTTGCTATATAGGTACTGCCAGACTAAGTTAAGCAAATGCAATCCCAGCTGCCTGGAAGGTTACAATCTCACCGACCAGTTACTTTACTGTATAATTTCTATATTATAGAGATTTAGTCAGTTCATCCCAAAGTATTACTGGGTCCTAAGGAGGGTCGCCACCCTTAAGTTTATTTCTGGAGACTTCTTTGGCTGTCTGAATTTGACTCTTTGAGACATTAAATTTTAGGGGATCTGTAGTTGGGGGAGGAGTACTTATTTTAAGTAGCAGGAGGTGGAGGCAGGGAGAAGGATGGAGAGACCAGGATGTCAGGGTATCAAGATATCTCTTAAGAATAGTCAGTAGAGACAAACCACTGTCTCTGGCAGACACCAGTTTAATCAGGGAGGATGAAGGGGAGGCCAGTCTGACAGAACTGTGAGAGGCACCATTCCCTAAACAAAATTTTATGGAAGGGTCCACTATGAGTTAAGCCATTAAATAATCAAGAGGCTCAGAGGAAGATAAAGGAGCTCCAAAACCTCTCTTCTCCTAGATTTAACGCTTGCACTGAAGAAATTTCAGGGTGCCCTCTCAGGCTTAACACATATTTGCAGGTGGCGCCGCAGCGTTCTCTGAGCAGAGTGTTTCGTCTATCTGTAAGCATGCAAAAGTGGGAAAGTTTCAGTCTGAAAGAGAGACTCACCATTTTTGCAAAAATTTCCGGGGCAGCACATGGCGTGACGCATGCAGCGTTTTCGGCGCTTCCTGCAGGCCAGGCAGATTTGCGCTCTGGCACCCGCTCCTCGGGTGGGACTCGCACAGTACTCCTCGGTGCTGCACTCCTCATCCTCGGCGCACGGGTACGGCTGTGGAAAGGGGGTTGAAAGAGCGTGAGGAATCTAGGCGGCCAGGTATGCTCCTGGACCTGGATGCTCGTCGCAGCCCCTCGCCGTCCACCTCTCCAAAAGCCATTGCCGCCCACTGCTCCAGAATGCAGTTTCCGAATGCGCTCCAAACCGCGCCCACTCCACACGTTTGCCCCGTGTTCTCCTCCCCTGCCGAGACCCCGCACCCGAGACCCTTCTCACCTGGTAGTTGTCAATGGTCTGGTATTTGTTCCCACCCTCGAACAGAATTCCCGGAGCTGCGCTGACTGCGGAGCCTGCGTGCCCGGCAGCGCCGCCCAGCGGTGGGGGTAGGTTCTTGATGGCGTTGGAATTGACGAGAACCGAGTTCAAGGTGGCGCTCGTTCCCGGTAGAGGGTGACCGCAAAGAGCCGCGGCTACGAAGGCGACCAAGACCCGGGCAGCTCCCGCCGCGCACGGAGTCGTCATCTCAGAAGGACGAAAGTAAAAGGAAGAGAAAAGAGCCTGGTCCCGAGTGAGCTGTGCGGGCGCGGCTGCAGAGTCAGGGTTCCGAGCGCCTCCAAGCGCGCTAGAGACCTGCCTGCGGGGCGCACGAGCTCTGCGCCGCCACCGCCACCGCCACCGCCTTTATACTGCGGGCTTGGAGCGTTCCGGCCCCTCTGGGGGAGACAACAAAGCCGGGATGGGATTTCAAAGCGTTGGGAGGGGCTGGAAGGGAGTGTGTTTGTGTACATGAAGGGGGGCCTTTGACACTCTTTACCCCGCTCGTCCCTTGCGCCGTCGCTACCCTGGCCCAGCTCACCTCCGGGCTGACGGTCATCAGTGAGCCTTAGAGCAGACAACTTTACTGCATGCGGAAGGAGGGAGGAACTTGGGGAACTCGGGTGCCCTTGCCTTGCAGTAGGGATTGGGTTATCAGGACCTGTAATGCTTTTCAGAGCGGAATTTTGATACTTTCTGCAAGACCACTTTTCTCCTCTCTCCCGAGCTCCAGCAGTGCTTTATTGTGTACCTACATAATATTCAGTATTAAATACAACCCGGTCAGTAATTCTAAAGGCAGTATCTAAACATCTCAGCAAGAGAGCCAGGTGGCTGGTGCAAGTTGTTCATTAACCTTTTAGAGTCACGGTCTGCAGATTTGGGGTGAAGTCCTTTGACTTTAAATTCTTCCATTCCCCTCCCACCCCCAACTTCTCCACCCACAGTCACCGCGCGAGAAAAAAAAATGGGCAAAGAGAAAGAAATTTGCACATCAAACGAGGGTAAGAAGGAAGAAGAACTAATTCTCTTTTGATGGGAAGTTTAGAGAGGGAGGCGAGAGACTGGCGTTTGGAAATTAGATCAGGGGTGGAGGGAAGAGGGAAATGACCATCCGATAATCAAACTATTTCATGTTGCCCTTTGAGTCTGAGCAGTTGCGGCAAGTAGATGAACTTGATTAGGCAGATTCGCAGATTCGGAAGATCAAAGTGGCCGGAGTGAAAGCGGGCAGGGTCCAGCGGTCCTTCCCTGGGCCCCCCTTCTCGGTAGTAGGTTAACGCAGGGAGATAAGAAACCCTCTAAGGCTTAGCGCCTGACTTCCTCATCAGTATTTCATATTGCTAAGCTCGAGAATGCCTGTGTTTGATCCGAAGTCAGACCGTGTCTAGACCAGGAATACCCCTTCAAGGAAGATAAGAGACTAGCTTCAAGAAAAGGAAAGCTGAAAGTGAACCAGAAAGTGAATTTGATATAATTTAAATCAGTGTGAAATTGATAAATTACAAAAATAATAAAGCAAGACTAGGGTGTAATGCTGCCCTGCTTATACATTGGACATTATCTATTCAACAAAAATACTGGAAGCCTAGCATTGTTGCCCTTTAGGTGGCGGTGTGGGGGGAGGGAGGGCACAATGAATACACATATTTATGACACGACTGACTATAATTATAGTAATAATAAAGGACAAGAAATGTGCACAGTCCTTTTTAAAACAGGTTTTAACAGGTCATAAGTGTCAGAAAATGAACAACTGCTATGTGAGTTTAGAAAAAGAAGAGATGATTGAGTAAAAAATGCCAGGATATATTTATTTTGTGCTTCTTAATCTCCAGGATATTTATAATTACACAGTGACCTACTATATTCATGACTGGGACCACTACCGAACACAGCCAGTGATAGTCTTTAAGTAGTGCAAACCTAAAATTAAGATGGGTAAGGGTAACATTTTTAAAAGTTTGTAATCGTCTGTTGTAGTTCCTTGGGTTTCAGAGGTCATATTAAAAACATCTTCTAAACAATTCTTTAATAATGCCTCAAATTACACTGGTATCCCACTCTAAATTCCATCTATGCTGTGAAATTTCCTCTGGCTTATTGATAACTCCTGTTTGAAATTCCAACATGGATTAAATCCTACATATTTCTTTAAGTTTTATTAAGAACATGTAAAATTATTTATACTTGGCTGCTACTTAAGAAATTTTTGGAAGACATTGAAACTTGAAAACAAAGAGGAGGCTGTTTATGTTTGCTTAAAAAAAAAAAGCCTAAGAAACAAATTAGTCAATATACCTTTTATTGAGATGCAGCAATGAACCAGGTTTCCCTTGGGCAGCTGTGCCCCATCCTCAGTTGTCTTGAAATTTATATAGATGAAGAGGTATTAGGGTAAAACTCTCACGGCACAGAGGATTTTGGGTGCCATACTATATCTTGCAGAATATTGATAACAGTGTCAATAATCAATGTATTGAGCAGTTTCACTGTGGTTTTAAATTCTTACAATGTTGAAATGTGGAGAGAGTATCCTCTGACCTTGGGAAGGATGAAAATTTTTTCTCCTAGTCCCATTATTCTATTTAAATATCTCTAAAACCATGCTTGTGCCACCCTAAAGGCCAATCTCTTTTTCTTCTTTTGTAAAAGATGATACATGTTAGTCTACTTAACAAATTTAGTCTATCAAGAGCTTGGATTCACAAGTGAAATGATTGTCTAGGGGTAAAAATGAATAATTTAATGAGCAAAAGGAAAATTTGAACAAGTCAAGTTTTAACAAAGAGCTATGCTGCATAAGAATATGTATGTCTGTGTGGTTTAATACTCATTGAGCTTGAACAGAATCTGTTGTGTTGAATTAAGGGAGCTAAACCAAGAATACCATTTCAAGAGCCCTGGGTTCTACCTCCTCCACCTTCCACTGTTGCTCCTAAAGTTATCATGATTTGAAAGCTAATAATGAGCTGGTCAAGATCTGGGTTCCTATTATGTGCTGTGTGATCAAAGTTGAGTACTCATTATTATTTGAGTGGGGAAAGGGGAGGTAAACTCACAAATTACACAGAAGAGAAATTATGCTAAAGAGCTGAGTATGTAGCATGCCAAGTCTTTGTTCCAAATGAGAAGGTTTACTTTTTTTAATGGACTCTCCATTTGAAAATCTTCAACATGACTGAGTTTGCTCATTGACAGCAAAAGATTATGGTGCATTAGGAAGTAAAGTGAATTCATTGTTTCATCTGCAATCAATTAAAGTTTGGTGAGTGCCCAACAAATATGCAAATGCTACCCATCCTACCTTTGGGATTATACTCCCAAAATATTAAAGGCAAGCTCTTTGTCCTCAGACAGCTTTCAGACCATGAGTGGTTGGAGAAACAAACATACTTACGTGGATATGGGGGTAAATTTGTTTTCGTTAACAGATTATATTTCAGCATATACTAAGTCATGGGGAAGTTAGAAAAAGGTGCAGGAATTGTGACCAGCAAGCCTCAGAGAAGAGAGTCTGATGACTCTCTGAGTCTCTCCTGTATCTATCATCTCTCCTGTAGCTAGATGATAGAGGTGGTAGAAGTCAGGGCAAGTGTATTTAGTTTATTAAGCCCAGTTTATTTAGTTCTGTAGGGAACCCTGCCTACTATTTGATCTGGTTTAAATATCATAATTATACAAGTTTAATATTTTGTATTAGACTTTAAGATAGGTGAAATATGTTTACCAAATGTGGAGTCAAACCTCATAACTCAAAAATGGCATAATAAAGTGTGCCTTCCTCACATTTTAAGTGCTGTATTCCAGGCATAGAATACTCACCAGCTTCTTCATCTGTGAGGAAGATAGTCAGACGTGCCCCCAAAAATAATGCCATTTGCAAACTCTTTTTCCATCTTTGTAATTTGAGATTTACGTGACTGCTGCATTTTTAATTCACTCCTTCCCTCCCTTCCTCCTTTCATTCTTTCTCTTTGTTAAACCAAAGGAAGCAGATCTGTTGCCATTTAATTTTACTTCACTATGAAAACACTGAGTAAATGTCATTCCTTATGGTGAGTGCTCCCAACATTTGCGTTGGTACTGACCTTGAATTTATAGGAGGGATCCCTCATTCCTGAGTTTTGTAAAAAATGTTTTACAAAACATTGGCTTTTAACAGATTTGGGTCTTATTGCTCTTCATGATGTTAAAAGAGCTTTTAGACCAGGAGGGTGTTATGACTCTGCAGAGGCTGGATTAAGCTTTTCTGCACTCCTCAGTACAAAGAAAAGGCAAGATTTGACAAAGATTATGTTGATTTGGCCAGTGGAGATGGCCAGCCCTGATAAATCAGGCTCCATGGCAGCTTTCGGAGCTAGCTCAAACGATGTGCTTTACAGGAGCAGGACACCACAGACTAATCTGACAGTAGAGCCCAGAACCCAAAAATTTTGACTGAAAACCAGAAAGGGCTTTTTCTGATATCCTGGTACTAAGAAAGGTCTGTGGTATATAGTAACAGGGAGCGACTCAGAGAGTCATCCCCCTAAAGGACTTGACATTGTCAGCCATGAAGGTTGGCCAATGATAGCAGAAAGCAGGATGTAGGATCTTCTGGAAACAGTCTCTAGAGCTAGAGAAAAATCATTTCGCTTCAAGTCACTGGGTTTCTGTTATTACCTCCTTCATAAGGCAGGCACTCTGAGGGTCATGGCCAAGAAAGGTGTCTTGCCATTGTGTCAGGGGTCTCGGACTAGGGCTCTGCGCACTGCAGATGTCTACTGTGACATCCACCAACTGTCTGGCAAACACAGAATTTTGGCCAAGCTACTTAACTTTCATTGTTGGTGTGGGTTTTTCATTCATAAAATGGTATGAGGTGGAGATGGAAAGGTCCCTTCTGACTACAAAAGCTACTTTTGGGTGGCTGAACAAGGCCTTTTGTATTCTGATTAAATAGGAACATTCTGCAATAGGCCTGTTCTTTCAGGCCTATTTCATTTTTTAAAAGGTGGATATATATATATATATATATATATATATANCCAACACCAAAAATAAAAATAAATGACACATGTATTCCCACCACCCAAAGGAAACCGCTCTTACCTTTCAGTTTCTATATGTGCACGCACGCAGGAGAGAAAGCAAGAGAAAGAGTGAGAAAGACGTTATGTTCCTTCACAAAACTGTAATGTCTGAGAAAAATATTTTTTCAACTACTGCTAAATCTCAGACTGGTGAGCTGACGTGGGACCTCAAGAGGAAAACCAGAAAGAGGGACCTTGAAAACACTTTAGAGCCCCAAGACCCTGTTTCAGACTTGCCAGGGAGGGGACGTGGCATGTGGGCTACAGACTAAGTTTT